AATTTTTCATTGATGACCTTCATAATTCTGGGATTCACATTTAGGTCCTTGATCCATGTTGAGTTGGTTTTTGTATATGGTGTGAGGTGAAGGTCTTGTTTCAGACATTTGCATATCTTTTTCCAATTCTGCCAGCACCATCTGTTGAAGAGACTATCCCCTCCCCATGGGATATATTTTGGTGTTTTGTCGAAGATCAATTATCAATATATCTTGATTGGATGTTTGAACAATTTCAGACTGAAGAAGTTGGTAGAACTCTTCAATTTCATCCCCACTGACTTTAGTGGTGGTGTGTAAATTTGAATAACATACAAAGTAATTTATTAGTATAGAAATAAATATGTATCTTTTTTTAAAAAACTATAAATATGGATATTTTCAGAGAGCTCCCTAACATTCTTTACTGAGATAAGCGTGTGATCACTGTAACTTACAGAAAGGACAAAGAGGTTCACCACAATATCCCTACCTTCAAGGAGTTCATTTTTTTTTTTTTTTCAGTAAATAATGGACCACAGTAGGTCAATCCATATTACAGGTCAATTCATGATTGATTACTTCCTAACAGCACTTAACAACAACAACAATAAACTGTAGAAATAATAACTGTTCTAAAAGGAGAAGTCACATGCCACTATTTTTTGCCCATAGAATAAGGATGACCTTGCCCCGGTTGACCGCTGTAGGAAGGGACCTTCAGGCCCAGGCAGAAGTAGCGCAGCTCCCAGAGCTGGCAAGACAGCAGCGGAATATGGAATGGAGGCAGCGCCCCACGTTGCACCAGCGCCCTGTTCTGCTCCAGCGACAAGTCCAGCGTGCTAGCTCTTCTCCCCATCGCACTCAGCTTCCCACCCACATGGCGCGAAAACAGCTCCATACTGCAGGGTCAGTGGTGTCAAAGAAACCTAAGAATGGTGAGGCACAGGACCATAGCCTCAGGGCTTAACCACCTGTGATTAATTTAACAGTCATTCCTTTATTCCCCCCAAGCAGTAGCTAGGTTGGTGTCACCCAGTGCTATAACTCATAGTGTCCTTCCCCTCAACCTACCCATACCAGAGCATATAGAATCCTTAGTAATGTTTATTATCAATTTTAATCATAGAATAGATGATAAATACAGTTATAAATCGCTTGAATGTATGTTACTATATGAATATTAACAACAAAATAATCTTGGAAAATCTTTCTACATAAAATTACATTATTAATTACATTGTTTGTAATTTTCCTTCTTTTCTTTTAATTTCTACTTCATTTTCAAAAAGTTACTGATATAGATTCAAAAACATGAATTAACATGATAGCTAAAACATCAGAAATTTGGACACAATTAACAATTATAAAAACTCCAGCAGCAATGAAAAAAGTAGTGCTTACTAGTATGGTGTTCAGATGAAACTATGTGATTCATTGAGATTGATAATAATGGCAGCTCTGACTAGACCACATTTTGTTGCTATTAAATGCCATTGAGTTGATTCTGACTCATAGCAACCCCTGTGTAGGATTTCCATGGAGCAGCTGGTGAGCTTGAACTGTCAACCTTGCTGTCCAGTGCTTTATCCCACAGCGCCACCCCAGGACTCCAGAGCACATTGTTGTTAAGTGCTGTCAAGTAGGTTCTGATTCATATGTACTCTGTATAGGTTTCCAAGGAAAAGCTTGTGAATTTGAAACCCTGACCTGTAATTCAAACAACCTTGCAGTCCAGTGCTTATCCTGCAATGCCACACCAGAGCATATTGTTGCTGTTGTCGTTGCTCAGTGCCATCCAGTTGGTTCCGACTAATAGTGATCCTGTATAGGGTTTCCAAGGAGCATTTGGTGGGTTTGAACTGCCAAACTTGTGGTTCACAGTCCAGTACTGATCCTACAGTGCCACACCAGGAGTTCCAGAGCACACTGTGGTTTGTTATTGTTAAATGCCTTAGAGTTGGTTCTGACCCATAGCAACCCTGTATAGGGCTTCTGAGGAGTGACTGGTGAGCTTGAACAGCCGATTTTGCAGATCAAACAAGAGCAAAACAGCATAGAGTTTTAGGCTTGTAGGCACATTGATTCATGTAAGAGTTGAACTTATGAAAAAGCATTTTTGTTGTTTAGCTACAGGGATTGTTTTTACTACAAATAATAAATTTGTACTGAAACAGTGCAGAAAAATTTAATAGTCATTTTTGTGTCACGCTCTTTGACAGGGTTACCCAGTATGATCTGCACCCCTTACCTCCTTATAGTCATGCCAGGGACCCCCATCCTCCCATTTTGCTCCTTTGGTTTCAGTATCTCCTTCCTACCTCTCTAAAACTTTTTTTCTAAGTGGTGTATCTGGTTCAAAATTCTCAATTCACTAAGTAGTACCACTGAGAGGAGAAGAATTCATTAAAGAAAAGGGGTGGTGGGGTGGTGGTGGTGGAATTTACAGTGGATCAAAAAAACCCCAAAGAGATAACATTTATTCCTGTTCAAGTCAAGTCCTCCCATTTCATATCTGGATTAGGTACCTGCAGAGCCAGGATTTCTGAAACAACAGGTCCTCTAAAACTAAGATTCTTAACCTTTGGGGGCTATGAACTCCTTTGATGCCTTGTCAAAACTAAGGCCTCTACTATCCGCCCCTGTCCCCCAAAATGCACATACACAAATCTAAAATTTTGCATACAATCTCATGGATTCAAAGATTCCCAAAGTCCATTCATGAAGTCTACTCCTAGCACCCAAAAACCCATAGCCATTGAATTGATCCCTAATTTTAGTGACATCTAAGACCAAGTAAAACTGCCCTTAGGGGTTCCAAGGCTGAAAGAAGCAGACTGCCACATCTTTCTCCTGTGGGTTTGAATTTCCCACTCTTCGTTTAGTAGTTTGACCTATTTATGTACCAAGAACTGGAGATAAAAATGCACTAGAGCTAGACACACAACCTCTGCCCTGGACATACTTGCACCTTTCTAGTCTTCTTCCCATTTATACTTCTCTGTAATGTCACTGATTTAGTCAATCTATGGTTGCAGTTCTATGCAATAATAAAGACTAAGAACATCTCCTTTAGGATTAATTGTCATAAAAGGATTTCCTTCAGATCTTCAAGCAGGGCTTCAAACCAGTTCATTCTAGTTGACCTCTGGTTGAGGATTTACATTTCCATACCAGCTATACTGAGTCTAAATCTACAGTTTAACAAGATCCCTGGGTGATTCTTCTAGGTCATATAGATTCTGTGTATATATAAGAATTACCCGGGGATCTTGTTAAACTGTAGATTCTGGTTCTGTATATTTACAATGGAAATGCAAATTTTCATGAGGAGGTCAAACCAGAATGAACCGGTTCAAAGCCTGGCCCTGAGACTTCCTAGTTCTAGCATTTGGTGTTCCAGTTCTAGCACTTGGTGTTCTGGAGGATTCTGTTGCCACAGTCTCTATCTTTTACCTGAATTTCAGGGCCAAGAGACAGGCTGAGTTACACAGCTCCTCCTACGTTCAAGGAGCATGTGACAAATGAAAAAACCAGAGCTGAAATATTCAGTGAGCCCAGCAAACCGTAAGTTCTTTTTAATTATCCTATGTGCTCTGTTACTCCTGCAACTTTAACTAGCAACATCATTTAGGAAACAAGTGAGTGTTAATATAGGAGACTTTCTAGTATGATCAGAGAAGATAAAGGTCACTCTTAGATCAGATTTAACTTCATTGCTTAAAAATGGAAAAGGAGTATCTCTCCTGCTTCAGAGGAAAGAAAAAATAAAATCCCTTGCCTTAATTGAAGGCATTTTCTCTATTTCTCTGTTTTAGAAGTTACAGAACTTACAAATGAAAAGAAAGTCAAGTACATTTCAAGACAGAACAGATTGCTTAAACTTGGGAAGAAATTAATAAAGTATAGGGTAACCTCAAAGAGCATTAATAAACTATCTCCTCAAAATAAAAAAGAGGGAAATCACAAAGCCTTAGTGAATTCTAAAACAACAGTGATGAAGAAAATCACAAAAAAGCCCACAAACAAAATTAACTCAGTACAGAAAACTATGTGAAACAAAGAAACCAGCAGCAACACACACACACAAACACGCAGTAAAATGACAGCAATCAATTTATACCTATTGAAAATTATACTGAATATAAATGGATTAAATGCACCATTTACGAGACAGAGAGTAGCAGAATAGAGAAGAAAACAAGATCTGTAAATGTATTGTCTACAAGAGCCACACATTAGACATAAAGATAAAAAGAGACTAAAAATGGAGGGGAAAAAATTAAGCTAATGGCTATCAAAAATTGGCAGGAGTAGCAACATTTTTCTTTATGTTGTTATCCCTTGGATCATTATGCATTTATACTTGAAATCATATTTTATAAGATTCTCCTCCTCATATACTAACTTCTCTTTATACATGTTGTTAAGTGCTGTTGAATCGTTTCTGACTCATAACGACTCTGTGTAGGTAGGGATTCTGAGGAGCGGCTGGTGGGTTTGAACAGCCAACCATGCAGATAGTAGTATAGTGTCATACCAGGACTCCCTTCTACATATGCTGTGTTGTTGTTGTTAAATGCCATCAAGTTTTTCCAATTCATAGCAACCCTGGATAGCATTTTAGGAGCGGTTAGTAGGTTTGAAGCATCTACCTTTTGGCATTATAGGATAAGCCCAGTGCTTATCCTATAATGCCACACCAGGACTCCTTCTGAGGGGGCTTCAAAAAATTCATTGAAAAATGAAATGGGGAAAAAAATGGAATTTTCCTGCAAACTTTTTAAGGCCCCTTGTATGTAAAAGTCCAATTCTAAACTCCTGTTACATGGCAGTTTCTATTTCTCCTTTTTTATGTTTAATATTTCTAATTATAACAGTATAATTTATTTCAACAAAACCACATAATTACAGCTAAACTCACTGATGTATGCATTCCTAGGAGTGCCCACATTATGACCAGCAATACTACGCAAGTGGAAGAACCACCTAAGTCTGCTGAGGAAATGTGGTCCAAAGATGATGATTTTGAACAGAGAAACTCATTGGAGTGTGTGCAGAAGGCCACAGAGCTTCGGTAAGAACGTGGCATCCATGCCTCAAACCACAATGAATTAGGAAAGTAAGAGATTCTAACATGCACTTTTCTCTGTGTCAAAGGAAAAAAGAATGTTTGGGGTTAAATTCAATCGAGGAATAACCTGGAGTCCCCAGTGAGTTAAGAAATGGGTTAATCTAAAAAGGATGCTTATATGTAATAGAAGATTTGCTGATTCACTTCATATAAAGAAAACGTTCATGTCCACCATGAGATAAGGATTCTCAATTTTCCGTGTGCATTAGTCACTGGAGAATTTTTAGAAGCTTAGATGCTTGGCCCTATCATAACAATGCCTTATCATTTATTTGGGGAGGGGAACCAGATGATGTAATTTTAAAGATCTCTTTGGGTGATTCTAATGAGCAGCTCAGACTGGACTGGTAATCACTGAGCTAGCGCACAAGGAGCCCAAATCTTCCCCAATACCTTTCAAAGGATTTAACAAAGTGATCTCCTAAATTCGGATCATCTTCTTTTGTATACTCTATCCCTTCTCATGCCTCCCTGGTTTCTCTAAGGAAGCAAGGCTCAGATCCAGTAGAATTTACCAAGGCTTATGGGAAACTGTGAGCACTGTAACGGAAAAATAGCTATAATGTTTTCTCTGACAAATTTTAAGGTTAGTGGGCTATCAAATCTCAGTAGGTATAATAGAAAATGGGATAGAAGAGATTATTTATGGGAGTGTACATACACGCCCTATTTCTGGTGTGCTAGGGAAAGAGAGGAAGGCAAGAGGCAAAAGGGAGAAATACAGATTGGAGGGGAAAGGTCCTTAACTGCGCTTTTGCAAACAGAATATTTCATTCTACAGAGATTCCATTAGGGAGAATGTAGAATTGATTCGACTTAAGAAGCTGTTACATGAACGGAATGCCTCATTGGTAGTGACAAAAACGCAATTAACAGAAGTTCAAGAGGTGAGTTGTCATCATCTGCTGTGCTTTCTTGAAGGGGGGTGTAATTATTTAAGAGATTAGTATTATTTGGTCCATTTTACATATGATATTGTTAAGTGCTGTCGAGTTAGTTCTGACTAATAGAGACCCTGTACAGGGTTTCTGAGGAGCAGTTGGTGGGTTTGAGCTGCTGACCTTGTGGTTTGCAGCCCAGTGCTGATTCTATAGCGCCATATCAGGAGTCCATTTTTTGCATAAGAGAAGCCATAATTCAGAGAGATTAAGTTACTTGTCCTAGGTCACACAACTTGTAGGTAATACTCAAACCCAAACCCTGTATTCTTTCCTGTTATTCCCCATGGATTTTCTATTAGGAAGAAGGTTCAAGCCCTGCCTACTAAAGTGGAATGAAGTGGAGTTAATACATGTCAGAGTTAAGGTCCCAGCCAAGGATCACAAAAATCAGAATATAATTGAATTGGGAAATCAAGAACAATAATAGGGGAAAGAAGGGAAACCGCATTTTACTGAGCACTTTCTATGTGCTAAACTTTGCCCTAGATATTGTAAATTCATGATCTCACTGGAGCCTGATGAAAGACCTTAAGGTAAATACACTTAAGAGATGAGGGAAATGAGCCTCAAAGAATTTAAGTCACTTTCTCAAATAAGGCCATGTTTATTTCGCACCAAAACTCAAGCTCTTTTGTTATTACCAACACATTAGAATAATATATATTTACTGACAGGAACTGTACAAAGTGCTGAAGTTCAAGGATTACAAAGATAAGTAAGACAGCTCCTGCCTTCAAAGAACATACAAGAGCGAGAGGACAACTTGTAATTAAGTACCAGTACCAGTTGCCAGTTTGAAAACAAAAAGGAAGAATCAGTCATTGGAAAATATGGTGATAGAAATGATGCTGGAGACGGCATGATAGAATTTTGCAAGACACATTTATTTCTACATTAATAAATTACTTTGTAATTCAAATTTACACACCACCACTTAAGTCAATAGGGAAGAAATTGAAGAATTCTACCAACTTCTTCAGTCTGAAATTGATCAAACATCCAACCAGGATGTATTGATAATTACTGGTGATTGGAATGCAAAGGTTGGAACCTAAAAGGAGAGATCAATTTTTGGAAGATATGGCCTTGGTGATAAAAACAATATCCCACCTGAATTTAGAGATTGTTTCAAGAACAGGTTTGATGCATTAGATACTAATGACCAAATACCAAAAGAGTTGTGGGATAATATCAAGAACATCATACAGGAAGAAAGCAAAAGGTCATTAAGAAGACAAAAAAGAGGTAAAAGACCAAAATGGATGTCAGACGAGACTCTGAAACTAATTCTACAGCACAGAGATACTAAAACAAATGGAAGAAATGAGGAAGTAAAAGAGCTGGATAGAAAATTTCAAGGGCATCTCAAGAAGACAATATATCAAAAGTTATAATGAAATGTAAAGACCTGGAGTTAGAAAACCAAAAGGGAAGAACAGGCTCAATATTTCTCAAGCTGAGGGACATGAAGAAATAATTCAAGCCTCGACTTAAAATATTAAAGGATTCCATGGACAAAATATTGAATGATGCAGAAAGCATCAAAGACAATGTAAGGAATACACAGAGTAGATGTATCAAAAAGAAATGGTTGATGTTCTACCATTTCAAGAGGTAGCATATGATCAAGAGCCCATGGTACTAAAAGAAGAAGTACAAGTTGCACTGAAGGCATGGCAAAGAACATGACTCTGGGAATTGTTGAACTCTTTCAACAAACTAATATGGCATTATAGACACTCACTTATCTTTTTCAAGGAATTTGGAAGACAGCTACATGGCCAACTGGTTGGGAGAGATCCAAAGTTGTGTTCATTCCAAAAAGAGGTGACCCAATGGTATGTGGAAGTCATTGGACAATATCATTAATATCACATTCAAGTAAAACTTTGCTAAAGATAATTTAAAAACGGCTGCAACAGTACACTGATGGAACTGCCAGAGGTTCAAGCTGGATTCTGATGAGGACGGAGAATCAGGGATAGCACTGCTGATGTCAGATGGATCTTAGCTAAAAGCACAGAATGCCAGAAAGATATTTACCTGTGCTTTATTGACTATGCAAAGGTTTTAGAGTTTGTGGATCATGACATGTTATGGACAACATTGTAAAGAATGAGTATTCTGGAATACTTAATTGTGCTCATTAAAAACTTGTACATAGACCAATAGGCTGTTGTTCAAACAGAACAAGGGAACACTGAATAGTTTAAAACTAGGAAAGGTATGTGCCAGGGTTGTATTCTTTCACCATAATTATTTAATCTGTATGCTGAGCAAATAATCCGAGAAGCTGGTTTATATGATGAAGAATGTAGCATCAGGATTGGAGGGAGATTCATTAACAACCTGCAATATGCAGATGATACAACCTTGCTTGCTGAAAGTAAAGAGGACTTAAAATACTGCTAAAGATTAAAGACCACAGCCTTCAGTATGGATTGCACCTCAATGTAAAAACAAATAAACAAAAATCTTCACCAGTGGACCAATAAATAACATCAAGATAAATGGAGAAAAAATTTAAGTTGCCAAAGACTTCATTTTGCTCAGATCAACCATGTACACTTATGGAAGCAGCAGTCAAGAAATCAAACAATGTATTGCATTAGGCAAATATGCTGCACAAGACCTCTTTAAAGTGTCGAAGAGCAAAGATGTCAGTTTGAGGACTAAGGTTGCTTGACCCAACCCATGGTATTTTCAATAGTTTCATATGCATGTGAAAGTTGGACAATGAATAAAGAAGACAATACAATAATTTATAACATTTGAGTGATGGTGTTGGAGAAGAATACTAAAAGTCCCATAGATTGCCAGAACAAACAAATCTGTGATGGAAGAAGTACAGCCAGAATGTTCCTTGGAAGTCCCTGGAAAAGGACATCATGCTTGGTAAAATGGAGGGTTGAAGAAAAAGACCTTCAATGAGATGGATTGGCACAGTGGCAGCAGCAATGGGCTCAAATGTAGCAGTGATTGTGAGGTTAGCCAGGACCAGGCAGTGTTTCATTTGTTGTATGTAAGGTCGCTGTGAGTTGGTACTGACTTAATGGCACCTAACAACAACAAAAAGTTTCCATAGAGTTAACTCTGATTCATGGTGACCCTACATTTTAATGTGCTCCATAAGGTTTTCAGTAGCTGGTCGTTCAAAGCCAGGCCTTTCTTTGAAGGCACTTTTATGTGAACTTGAACCTTTGGTTAGCAGTCAAGAATGTAAACTGTTGAGACCACTCAGGAACTCACAGTAGATTATAGATGACTGTATTGTTCATACTTTTCTGAATTTTTTAATTTCTAAAAAAAAAAAAATCACAAAATCACAAGGAAAGATCATCCTGGCAGGACAGTGAGTGGAAAATTGAACAGTTCAAGACTGGAGGCAGAGAAATCAGAAAGATGGTTACTGCAGTGGTCCAAGAGCGAGAAGACAAGGGCTCTAACTGAAGCTATGACAAGGACCTGGAGAGAAAGGGACCATACTAGAAGATGTCCAGGAAGTAGAAACACAGACTTTCTTGCCATAAGGAAGCGCAGTGATGGAAAATGAGAAATGAAAGCCGACTCCTGGATTTCTAGTTTGAGTAATTAGATGACAATCATACCATTCACTGATACTGGATCTGGCTACGGTTAAGACTGCCTTTCATATAGTTGTTGATAAGGGCTAAGGCATCTTTACAAGACCAACCTGAAAACCTATGCATTTTAGAGAACTATGCATATGTCTGGTATGGCGTTGTATGATAACCACTGAGCTGCTAACTGCAAGGTTGGTGGTTCAAACCCACCAGCTGCTCCTTGGAAACCCTGTACAGGGTTGCTAAAAGTCAGAACTGACTTCATGGCACTTAACAACAGCATTGCATATACTTGTATCCTCTTAATCTGGTTAATTTTGGTAACATTGAAAGAATGGAAATATGGGCAGGAAGGTAGTTTAAAGTTGTGTTAGAAAATTGTTATTTTTATGAAATTAATTTTTTTTAATTCTATGTCTCCATTGCATTACAGAGAAAAAGTAAACAAATTATTCTAAATGGAATTTCCTTACCTGTGTTAATGGCAGTAAATGGGAGTAGAGATGATCTAAGATGGTGGATGGTGGTTGTAATGATTATTTGCCGTGGAGTCGGTTCCGACTCATGGTGACTCCGCACAGGGTTTCCGAGGCTGTAAATCTTTATGGGAGCATAAAGCCTCCTCTTTCTCCCACGAAACAGCTGGTAGTTTCGAACTGCCAATATTGAGGTTAGCAGCCCGATTCATAACCACTCCCTACCAGAGCTCCTTTTTTTAAATGTAGGATACACGATTTGTATTTCTTTAGCAATTTACCTTTCTAGTTATGCTTTCTTACACATATGTTACACTGAGTTAGCATTCTCTTAATCTCTTAGCAGTAACATATTGTGATCAACAGCACAAGCTCTGGAAATCATACAGGCTGAGAGAAAGCTCTGCCTCTACTTCTTGGTAATTAGTCTCAACAAGGGATTTAGTTCTTTGAACTTCTTTTCTCGTTTTCAAACTTTAGGTAGTAATACCGACCTCTCAGATTTATCTCAGATTAAATAAATGGATAGATGTGAAACAGTGATAAAGGAATATCATGAAACATGTTATTAGCACAGAACATAGATACAGCATATAACTGTTCAGCAAATGGTAGAGGCTCTTCTTTCTGTTGATCATTGTTGTTTCTCTTTCTCAAGCTGGAAGGAGTGCTTTTGACAGGCTGAGTAACATACAGCACCTAGTTTGAGATTAAGCATTTTTCTTGTATAATCTACCAAGGGCAATACAAATGTGAATAGTTGACAGTTCATCTTTTTTTTGAGAAATGATATAATTTATTACATTCACAGACTAGCTGGCCAACGAGGTTTAAGGGAAAAGTGTTAGAAATTAGTAAACAAGTGCACATATTGACTTGATTTATGGAAATTATTTATAATGTTTTTAAAAAATAAATAAGCATTTGCATTAAAGCATAAATATCAAATAGATAAATCAGTAGAATAAAACTTATCTCTCTCTTCCAGGCATATGAAACCCTGCTTCAAAAGGTACTTAATATAGATTCTTTGAGTCTCTGTTAGTAATTAGGATAACAGAACCCAAATAAATTCATATTTATCTCCAAGTGACATAACATCAGAATTTAGTCAACTAAATCAAAGCTATTATGTCATAAATTCCTATTAAGACAAATGATACAATTATTATCAGAAGACATTAGTTGCACTAAAATTAATGATGACATCTATGTTGAGGAATATTCAGAATAGTGTTTTTCAGCCTATTGCTTTGAAGAACTTAGCATTTGCTCAAAAATTCCTAAGAGTATTTTTCTAGCATGTGTGAGGTGGTGAGATATGACAAAGTTGTTACAAATCTTCTCTGGTGTTATTAAATATTTGGTCTTATTCATCCCTGTAACTGGGTTGCAGATGTGGAAGTAGAGAGGAGTTGAGTGTACATGTTTAAGGGTAACTGCAGCAGAGTTCTGCTGAGATCATGAGGTTTTACATTGGCTAATTTCAGAAGTAGATTGCCAGGTCGATAGTCCTAGTCTATTTCAGCTCCACTGAAACCTGAACACCACGGGTCAAATGATGGTATTGGAAATATAAGTGGCATAGCTTCCAGCATCACAGCAACACACAAGCCACCACAGAACAAAAACTAACAGGTGATGGTAATAGAGAGCCAATGAAAATGAGGGAAACCTTAAATGTGAAAGGTTGACATAGCAGTTGCAACAATCATAAAGATGGTCTGTTATATCATCTGTTGAACTTGAATCAACAAATCAGAGTTCCCAGCATAACCAACCTCAGCTGTTCCTCACCAGAAAAACAATACAGTCCACTAGTAATATAGTCACTTAACTTCTAGGGTCATCTAATCTCACGTGTCAATTTCCCAGATGCACTGGCTCAAATAGCTCAAATAGCTTCAAATAGCTTAGAAAGTTGAGGCAGTGTTCAAAGGTGGCACCTAAATTAGAGCTATGGATTAATTTAAACCTTGGGAAAATCTGGCTCTAAGGATGAATTACAATTGCCAAGAGTGGATGATCCTCACTAAACAGGGAAGCTATACTTCCAGAGAAATGCTGGGTAAAAAGTAAGGTCCATTTATAGTGTAAAGCCAACGGGATAGTAATCAAAATCATTCTTGGTAACACCCACTAAAGAATGCTAGGGTTACTAGTCTCTTCAGACCTTCCTTGGTTGTGTAATAATGACCACTCCAAGTGCCTTTCCTTTTGTCCCAGAATGAGGGAATCTTGGGTTTAGCCCATGATTCCCTCTTTGGCCAAGTGAGTGAGCTTAGGGCAGAGCTGAAGGAAGAGAGCAAAAAAGCTGTGAGCTTGAAAACACAACTGGAAGATGTGGACATCTTGCAAGTGACTCTGAAGGAGGTAAGTTACCACAATAATTTTTTTAAAAATCTATCAATTGTAAATTACATTCCAACTTCAGAGATGTTAAGATATGTATCTTACAACAATGAAATATAAGCAATTCATTTTTACAAATGAAAAAATGAGATTATAAATGGTTAAATAATCTTCTCAAGATTATACCATTAGAGGGAAAGCCGGGATTCATAAATGGATTTGTCCTCCAAAGTCCTTGCTCTTTCAAAATGTACAACTTCTTTCCTAACCCAGAAACCATGAACACTTACTTCACAGAATCTTTATTAATTGCACTAAAATTTTCGACCCCACTTTCGGTTGGTTCTATTCTCTGTAGTTGAATAGTTCTTCACTCTCCCTATCCCAAACATGGGAGATGAGCATAGAAAAGCACCTGCCCTGTTGCCATATTACAACAGAAAAGGGAAAACCTGTGCAGGGCAATACATTGAAAATATTACCTCAGACACTTTATATCATTCTTAGTTTCAGGAGAGAATTGAAGATTTGGAAAAAGAACGAAAATTGCTAAATGACAATTATGACAAACTCTTAGAAAAGTAAGTACCAAGTTTGGTTCTTATAACATTTTTTGCTACAGAAGATAAATATAGAAAAGTACTTTTCAATTTAAAAAATATTTGGTATTGATAAGGGTATGGGGGAAATAGCCATTGATAAGGGGTTGGTTAAATTATGTTACATTCCTATAATTAAATTCTATGCAACTGTTAAAAATAAAGTAGATCTATGTGTCCGAAATATATAGATATTTATTGCTAAGAGAAAAAAGTAAGTTACAAAAGAAAATATTAATGCTGATCTAATTTATGTTACTTGCATGAATGGAGCCACAAACTATCAATGGTCAATTCTGGAGATCGGAAGAGGTCTGAAGGACAAAAAGGCACCTTTGCTTTTATTTTATATTGTTCAGTGCTATATTAGTTTAATTTTTCACAATAAGCATGTATTCACATATATATGTATACACATACAAAGTAATTAAAAGCATTTTTTTGTTGTTGTTAAGTGCCATCAAGTCAGTTCAGACTCATAGCAACCCTGTATAGGGTTTTCAAGGAGTGGCTGGTGAATTTGAATCACCACACTTGCAGTTCAAACCAACTCTGCAGTCTAGTGCTTATTCTACATTGCCGCACAAGATCTAAAAACACTTAAAAGCTTTAAACAAAAGTGTCTTCTGACCAAGTTAAAGACAGTTGAGGACAGATTGGAGAAGTTGTATGAGAGTATCTTGTGAACAAATGATGTTCCTCAAATAAGTGAAACAAAGAAGTATGGGAATATCTACTTGAGAATCTCCTGCAGCAAACATTGCTATTACCCCGTTTCCTTTACCAGTTAGAACATTCTCTTCTCGGATCGCCATGTGATTTATACCAGAAAGTGCCAAGTAATTTTAATACTAGCCTAAGTAAATTGTTTTTGGACTACATTCATCAAATGATAAGTAAGAAAAAGACATAAACAGACATAAATATTTGATTATCAATGCCACTTCATTTGAGTAAATAATAAAGAGTTAGTCCTATGTGTTTATTCTCAAAATGGGTCTGCCCTGATGGCTAAATACTATGGGATGCAGGGTTCTTGTTGTTTTATTTACCATCAAGTGAATTTTAACTCATGGGGAACCCCGTGTTACAGAGTAGAACTGCTTCTCCATAGAGTTTTCTTGGCTGTGATCTTTTTCTTTTCTTTTTTAATGTTTTTTTGTAAATTATGTGATAGTTTACATGGGAGAACATTAGCTTTATATTCATCCTATCGTTTATCATTTCATTGCCATGATTACAATCCCCTGCATGCCTCATCAAACAACTAAAGGGTTATAGCCCACAGCCTTCCCCTCGTTTGTCAGCACACAGCCCCTTTCCCTCTCTGGGTCTAGAGTCCCTAGCCGCTCCATCTCTCCACGTCATCATCTCTGCCTCCATCTCTGACCATCACTGTTTCTCTGGGTAGGGTCCTGCACTCCATTCTTCTCCCTTGATGGTCCCAGGGGCCTCCGCTCCTGGACTGCAAAGCCAACCATTCCCCTCCTTTTGCTAAAAATGTCTATCTTTACATTTCCAACCCTCACAGTCAGTCCTGATAGCAATTATTCACAATTGTATCACAAGAGACCTATCCCCCATCTCCTTTCATCAACCCTGCCCAGACAGATTGGATACTACACAGTGGAGACTCTACCTTCATCCGCCCTCTGGATCTAGGTTCCCTCTTGAAAGCTTGTAAGCCAGAAAGCTTCTTGCCTTTGTAGTCCCCCCACCACATTTGGGGTAGCCAATGTCCAAGTTGCTCATCCGTGTCTACCTTGTGTAGTGAGGGGGTGGGAATGATCCTTGCTGTAAAGATTTGTCCCCTCTTTTGAGCTACTGCATCCATAGGTGTAGATCAAGTTCATCAAATTGTGTCAGATTACTCTTTTTTCCCTCTTCTTTATTCTTCTAGTAGAGTTCTGATCATCCAGCCATTGAAGCTAGGTCAAGTGGGTATTATCTGCAAGTGTGGGTGTTCTTGTGCATATGCCCTCACTTCTTATCAGCTGGACGCTTCACTGTCCACTGTAGTCCTCTGTGTCTCTATGTCACTAACTCTGGGCCCAGGAGTCCCCAGGTCTTGCCATACTACTGGCCAACCAGGTCTTCACCTGGGTTCACAGGAGTCTATTGAACGTGGTCAGACTTCATTGCTGTTTTTCCCTAACTTCCCCTTATCGGTGACCAATGTGGTCACCAGTCAAACAGCATGCCTGCTTGTGTATTCCCCTTGAGTCTTAGTCTTAGAAGGGGTTTGCCCTAAGGGGACATGACCACTTTTGGCTGTGATCTTAATGGAAGCAAATCATTAGGTCTTTTCTTCCATGGTACCTCTGATTTTAGTTCAAACTACAGTCGAGTGTCACCTAGCAACCTTAGGGTACAGGGTACAGTCAATGAAAACTCTAGTTTTTGCCCTCTGGTTTACTAATTAACACTTTAGTTCAAAAGCAACTATTCTCTAAACTGGCTATTGGTGAAGGCAGATAGAAGAATGGTACAAAGAGAAGAGGAATATTTTGTACCTTATTTCTGATATTGCAAGCCTGAGACTGTCTTGATACAAAATTCCCTGCCTAAAGAAAGGCATCATGTAGGGCAAGTTCCTTGGGAAATGGATATGACTTGGGGTGTTTTCTTAGTGGAGTACTTGAAACCTAAACACATGCAATGTTCAGCAACTCCTAAGTAGGACCCAAAAGTTCCAAGGCAGTTGGTAAATGACAGTTACAGATAAAGTAGGAGCAGGGGGTGAAAAACCAAACATGTAGGGAGGGGAATGAATGCTGAATTAGGCTTAAGAGATGTTTATCACTGTGTGATAAAAATACCACTTCACATACTTTTGTGTGCCTATCTGACAACTCTCCCCTCCTCCTTGCTCACTTCCCATTTTTAGCATGCTGGACAGCAGTACTTTGCCTCACTGGGGCAATGAGCTCTTAGGTGAACAGCTACAGGAGAAAATCTCTCAGTTACAGGATCAGCTGAATGCTGAGCTAGAAGAGAAGAGAGAACTCTTACTTCAGCTGACCAGAGAGAAAGGTAACCTGGAGCTTGAAGAATTCTCTCAAATGTAGCATCCTTTATATCTGGTTTGGGAGAGGGGAACTTGGCTGAGCATTTCCCAATCACTTGATATCCATGACTCATACTTGATAATATTCTTGTGTTGTTCATGAATAACAAGAATAAGAACACTGGAGGTCAGATTATATTTATAATGAGGAGACCATGACATCTACCTGACATGTATGCTTTACCCTGTGTAATGTCTTTTCACTTGAAGGGATGCCAATTTTTAATTTGTTGTGCTTTTAAATATTCACATAATTCCTTGAAATTATTGAAAATTGATTTCTCTTTCTTTTATCATTCTCCTCAATCAGCTTAGAGGAGATTGGGAGCCATCTTTTTTTTAAGCACCAGAGACCTGAAAACAAAAAGCAGACGACTACTTTTGTCAACCACTCACTACCATACCTCTGCCCTCCCATAATGTGACTCTTGAATCACAGGAGACAGTTAGTTACTCTGGAGATTTTAAAATACTGTCCAAAAGGCCTTTGTCGACTTTTTTTTGCCCACCTGGATCTTGACAAGCTAGTCTTAAAAAAATTATATTGCATCAAAAATGATC